TGTCGTAAATAAGTAGACAAACATTATACATTGATAACATGAAGTATTGACTGTTTCGCGCCTTTTTCATGGACGCCATGTTGTTGTTATTCCACGCTTTATATTATCGAAAGAACCTGTATTAATCGTAACAATATACCAATAAATACTTGAAACATAGTTGCGATGAAAAGTGTTCAAAAGCTAAAATATTTTTGGCGTTCCTCACAAAATTACTTTGGTTTATCTTTCTATATTTTGTAGTTTACATAGTTAGCAACTTTTTTAAATGTATCTGGCGGTTGAGAAACACGTAAAATATTATAATTATTAATATTGTCAATTTAAATACAATTATCATTCATGATGTAAAATTGACACCATATTTATACAGCAATGTAAACAAAACTTACTGAGCTTCAGGCATCATTTTCTCTTTGGCGTACCATCTAAAATCTCTTCATTTAAGCATAATTTTACAGATAAAGCACTATATAGACATACTTTTTAAGTTTGCATGTTTGCCGCTTGAGAAACGTATAAAAAATTAAACAAATTGAATATAGTCATAACCAAGCGGAAAAGTATATTCATTACAGACATTACAGACCATTACACATTAGTTTTGAGCGCGTGTTACGTAACATACAAAAGATTCTCCTCTTAAATAGATGCATGCAGGCATTAAAATACGGAATTTTTACAAGGATACACTTTGCCTTCAGAGGCGTATTTTTGGTGTAAATGCGCAGATTCACAAGAACGAGTGGCGAAGCCACAAGTTTAGCGTCGAAAACGCGAGCTTTTAAGGGGGGTCTCTGAAATGGCATTTGCAGAGTTCTGAGAACAGAATTTGCAAAATCTTTGCGTGGATAACATTAATATATTTTCAGTTTAATATATTTTCAAGTACACACTTTTCAATTTACAAGGGCACATTCGCCTTTTACAAGGACACAAAGTGTGTACAAGGACACGCTATTTTAATGCCTGCATGCATGTCAAAGTATTGAGCATCAGCTGTTCAATTATTATTTGTCTTAGTCTATATTAAAGTTTCTTTTGATTTTGCATGGCGAATAATATTGTCAGTTTTATCATGATTCTATAGCCATAATAAAATCCAAACAATCCGTTGTTGCTTGTCATAAAGGATTTATGTAGATTTTATTGTTTTTTTATTGCACTTTCAATAAGAGCTCTTATACCACGTCACGTACGTGTGCATATGCTACTATATAATTCGTATGGCATATGGGTATATATTAAACACATTAATCTTGGCTTTGCAGTGAATTGATGTCAATGTCAACCTTGAAGAAAGACATTCGCTCTACTATAGTTGTTTCCAACACAGTCTGATGAATAAGGTAAGGTATAACCGGTTAAACCATGCACGAACGCGGTCTGTGCCCGTGTAGATAGTGCATAATACGAAAGCTTCGGATTGATAGGGATACCACCACCTGAAAAATACAAGGACTGAGAACACTAACCTGCCAACGAAGCGAAGCGTCTTCACTCAAAACGTCGAAGTTCTCCTTGTATTTTTCAGGTAGTTGGGCTGTATCCCCATCAATCCGGGGCCGCTTTCTTGATTTTTTCTGTTTATGTTTTCCGCATCGCGTTCACTGACGGACAATCTTTGCAGGCTATAGATATAGGAATCGCGCATTTTCTCGCAAATCCTGATCCTTACTCTTACCCTACCCGAAAAAAGATTATGAAGGTGGCAAAGGTTATTTTCGTGAAGCGTGATACACGAAATGCTATTTTATTATTCCCGTTATCTATAGCTGTGGTTTATGGAGTTCCCGTACTGAAATCCTTTTTTAAAATTTAAATTAAGGACATTAAGTTAAACGGGATTTGAGAAATTTTGCATGAAAATAGTGTTACTTCGTTTCGTTATATGTCACAGTAAGTAACATTGTGAATTTTTCTGTGTTGGTGTGATGTACTCAGGTGAATATATGATGCCTGTGATGTTACTCTTGAGTGTAGCTATATCCACACCGGGCGAGCTTGAAAAATATGCCTGTCCACGGTGGGAATCGAACCTACACCTTTGGAATACTAGCCCAATGCTCTGCCAACTGAGCTATACGCGGTCAGATCGGTTCGAGTTTGTGATATTTCGGAACCGAGTCTATTCGGTGCTCTACATACCATGATCAGTGTATATCACCTATCTTTCTTCAAAAAATGTATGATCGTAAATGCATGTATATGTAACGCCAGGAATTGTTTTTCGAACTTGGAAGTATAAATACCTAAACAGAGCCGAATAGACGATCTGCCGTGCCAACTTTTGCAACGGGCTAGAGGCTGACCAACGATGCAGTAATCTCGTCCAAAATTCTGTTATGTTCGTGAAGCACTATACATTTCGCTACAAATCCGACTCCATACCATGCATTAATCACATTGCTCGTGATAGGTCTATCTTTAATATACGTTCACTATATATCCACTCAGCATTGCGTGTGCCGTGTGGTATAAAGATCTGTGTTCAACACAAGTTCGTATTGATAGTTGCCGCTAAAAATACAATGTTACTCTCTTAATCAAATCCCACGAACCATAATTGTTGTGTGGAGCTTCTCCTCTTGTCATACCTCTGTGCCTTCCACGATATAAAGACTATATAGAAATATATATTGGACTGAAATGGCGTCTATGAATTTCGTAAACTATTATACTTCGTCTATAACGTCAAAACTGTTTCGGTTTATACGTATAAGAAATAGTTTAGTAATTTTATTTATTATATATATAAACATAAGTGTTATATACAGTTTTTGGCCACTGAGAAAAATCGTATTTAAACACACGTAAAAAATACGATATTTCTACGCGTGAAAATATCATTTGTTGTAAAACGCATTGCCACGGACGTTTTATTGTTTTTCACTGAATTTTGTTTATATAATAAACAGAAAAATACATGGGTGCTTGGAAATACCAGATTTATTTCTCGTGTTGAACATGTTCAACACTCGAAATAAATCTGGTATTTCCGCGCTTTCATGTTTTAGGCCACATAAAATAAATTCCTTGATTCTCATCACCGCTCGACTGTATTTTAAGAGCCGCGTGAAATTTTTTTATATTTTGTTATACAATATAAATGTACCGCCCGACAAAATATTTCAAGACAGTTAAGTTTTTTATATTTTATATTGGGTTTTTAGTGCCATTTTAAACTGCCAATTTCAAACAAATAGAACCTTGAAAGAAATTTCATTGCATTTTAACGGAACTTCGCATTCAGTTCAAGGACCAGTCATTGTTCGTGGAGAAATATGTTTATTTCAGTTTGTGACACTTTTATTTATTGATATATATTAAATTTTAGTATAATTACATAGGTGATTATTGAAAATTCTCCACGCTGAATTGGTTGCCGTTGAGGTGATTATTACGCGATAATCACCCAAGCGATTTTCAAAATGGCGGTCGAAGCCGTTTTGTCAATTGAATGACGAAGAAATGAGCATTTTAAAATTTGTTTCCAAATAATCACCTATGAAATTATACTAAAACATCACCTCAGGCTCGGTGATTATCGTGAATAAAAACCTCGACTTCGTCTCGGTTTTTATTCACCGATAATCACCTCGCCTTCGGCGAATAATTGTTAAATATAAATATAAAATATAAAATATAAACCTCCCGCCTCTTCGACATTTTCAAAGTGTAGAGATGAGAATCAAGGAATTTATTTTATGTGGCCTAATATTCTCTATTTAGTTTTGCATGGGTAAATTCCAACTCTTTGTAAGAAATGTTTGAGGGGACTGACTTAAGTTAAAGACTGTTATTATGTCTTGACCAATATATATTTAATATAACATATATATTTCGTCCAAAATAAACCGTGAAACAACTCAACTCAATATCACAGAGCTCAATATCCCCAAAACACGCATACGTGTCCTCGTGTCTCTGCCATATATGGAGGTACAGTCCTTATATGGGCTACCGATCACGACACTACAACTGTGTCACTTGCCTCAAATTACAAATATTTTTTTACAAATCCTTCAAAACTTAGAATTTACCTATCGTGCAATGTCACTGAACCGTCTGGAAGTTTTTGTTGTTTTGATTAGAGCGAATTAAATATTCAAACCTTCTTCCTGACTTTGGCAATTTATCATTTTGCTGTAATTAAAATTTCGACGCCTCTCGGTACAAGGGCATTTTTATGTAGGTCAATGTTAATTAAACGAATTTCTCACCGGTTTTAATATAGCGTTCACATAATGCGTCAACTGTTTATATTTCTCTTATTAAAATGTAAAAAAGGTTTTATTGCCTGACATAGATAAAGAAATATATTCTTTTATATATGTAACCAGTTCAATCTAAGCGTATCCGGCTCATCCCCTCCTCTAGTAAAGTAGTGAGCAAAATTTACGAGGGGATTGAATTAGCTGCATAGCGAAAACGACATATATGTATACGTTTTTAACGCATCAAATTTACTACTACAGATGTCACACTCAGACACAATTCCATTTCGTATATAATAGCTTTTTCGATATTTTTTATATTTTAAAGCCTTCATAATTTTGACTGGCTAGTAAAGAATTGCATATTTGAACGCAACACCTGCCGTATATAATACTATACTGTTTATTTTTTGTGGCACACTCGCAACTCCCCGGAATCTAACCCAGGACAGATAACTGCCCGGGGGGGGGGGGTGATGCTGCGAAAGCTGCATGAGGTAGAACTAATTATGAGTGACTGGGGTTTTTTTTCAGGAAATAAAACTGTTTTTGATATTTTAATAAGGTCGCGGTCACACTAGCGCTAGAATCGTGCTTGCTTGGACTAAATCCACTTGAATCGCTCAACACATCACCTTCCAAGCGCGCTTGCTAGTGTGACCGCGCAAAACACAAAACCCAAGCATGCTTGAAATCTGACACGATTTGCTTGAAATTTCAAAGGCACCGAAGCACGATCCAAACACACTACAGGGTATGTTTGAATCGTGCTAGAATGTGGATCTCAAGTAGATTAAATAATTCAGCCAATAAAATGTTGAGTTTTAGGAGGCAAATAGACAAGTAATTTCAACATGTCATTTTTAATTTGAATAGAGACAGAACGCGGTAGATTCGAACTATTTTGCTCACACAACAACGCGCTAAGCAGTAAAAAGTTGAATCAATAAGCGGTATTTCTGTATGGAAACCTGAAGCAGAAACCAAATTCAAAATTTCAAAATAATTGTTAACATCCCTATTTAATTCATATAATATGATCATGAATAACGATCGGGCAAGCGATTTGCGCCTGAACTATAAAGGACAAGGATACATTTCTCTTATGTTCTAAAGTCTAAACTTCGTTAGGCCTACGAAATCACAAGAATAATGTATATTCGTTGCCTTTAATGTAATGGACTTTAGATTATTAGATAGGTATTTAATTTTTATCTGTCAACAACAGCAAGCAAGCAAACGTTGCTTTCTTGAGTGTGACCGCGACGTGCTTGGCTTGTATTCTAGCATGAGCTTGGTATGTGTTCAAGCAAGCACGCTAATCCGGTGGTAATCTCCAAGCACAAGCGCTAGTGTGACCGCGACCTAAGACGGAATGTAAACAGTTGACAAACGCTATATATCAATCGGGAAATTCATTTAATTAAGATTGACCTAACCAAAATACTCCTGCAGAGTAGCGTAGAAGTTTTAATTACAGCACAATGTCAATGATAAATTATTATTAAAGTTTAATAGTTTATAATGAAAGGAAGATTTTCTCCATTGATTAAAAATACATGAGATTTTTTAAAAAGAGAAGATTTTTTAAAAAACTATTGGCAAAGGATAGGCCTATTTTTCCGTTCACTAAAGGAACAATTAAAGATATATTTATACCCATGCATGTATTTCAACACAGGAAATCCTTAAGCACTTTTTAAAAATTTAAATGTTCTATACTACTAATAAAACGATAAAAGGAGATTCCTCATGCATTGCGCGTAGACGTAACAAAATAATTTAAATGCATAATTCACCATTGCATGGCCTCCCCACTGTGAAGAATTAACAAAAGCCGGTTTATACCAGACGCGAGCAAGCTTTTTACGACAAGTTTTCATGTGACAAGTTTTTTTTTCAATATTCAATAGACAATTCCCATTATAGATTAATATTGAAACTATAGGCAAGAAGATGCAAATAAATTATACCACAGCTATAGAAAGAGCAGATACTAAAATAAAATTGCAAAGTTTGGTTGCGAAATGTTGTAAAATGCGGCCAAATATATATAGCCTTGCAAAGTTTGCAAATTTTGTATACTTTTGTATTGCGTGCGGAAATTGCTACCATTTTCGGCACAAATGTGGTAGCAATTTCCGCACGCAATACGAAAGTATACAAAATTTACTTTAATTTACTTTAATTTTACAACATTTCGCAACCAAACTTTGCAATTTTACTAATTTTAGTATGCTTTCTCCGGGAATATACTTTTTTCGCCATGATAAAAAATTAGTCTATAATGGGAATTGTCTGTTGCACGCAAATTTTCTATGACAAGTTTTTGGTTTTCTGTCCGCCATAGATCGCGCGCGCTGACCAACCGCGCATGCATGCAAGTGTTCAGATTACTTTGACAAATTTTCTTTCTTGTCCCGTACAAACGAACAAAATTTGTGCTTTGCCAATGTTTTCTACGACAAGTGGACCTGTAGCTCAGTTGTTCGAAAGTCGATTAGCTAAACCCTATATATAGGTTAAGAAGCTAAAATTCAACGCGAACTTAATTCCTGACAAAAAACGCTTAATGTAGCTGAAATGTTGGCGAGAAGATATCGCAGTTCAAGAAGATTATTATTACTGCTTGAACAACCTTTCGTTTAAAATAGACCTTACCGTTTATTCGCTTTTCACCCAACGGCCTAGCCTCGTTTTCGTTGGAATATGATCTTTATCTGCCCCTGACATGCTAAAATAAGTTAACATGGAAACGAGGCCATTGGATAAAAAAGAATAATCGGTAAGGTATATTATGAAGCTTAGAGAAAGTTCGTTCTTAAACATTTTACAATTATATTACAAACAAAATGCGTCTAACCCCTTGACTTAT